AAAACATAGCTGACATTTAGTGCATAGGTTGTTCAATACAACTTCAGCATAATACCTGGCTCCATTTGAGAAAACCAGGGTGCCTACCACAGGAAATAAATTATATAAGAGCTCATTGGATATAATTGGTTAGGCTGCTTATAAATTTTCACACAACAGAAATATTTTTATAATAGAGGTTGGCTATAGATTTGACCTTACAAAAATATTGCTTTTTCTTCTCCTTTTGAAAGTGCTGTTCATCTATTGTATAACAAACTGCTTTACTGCTGAAACTATTTATAAAATATCTAGAGGCTTTCGAATAGAAAGATGCAAAATATTATAGCTTTTTTTTTTTTTTTTTAAAAAAAAGGCAGTTTTGAATTTGTGTTCAGGTAGCTTGAGTTAATTAATGAAAACACATCCTTATATTTTCTTTGCTGTCTCTCTGTTCTCCCTTGTTCTACCAAGTCCATATGTATGTGAAGACTGACCTAGCAACTTAATTGATTTTATTTTTATACACTCAGACAGTGGATAAAAAACTTGTGGTCATTTCACTGATGGAATAGTTAGAGATGCAACAGAGAGTAGGCGAGACACACACATATAGGAATTATTTGGGAATTTCTTACTACTTGAACATAGGTTTTTCTCAGGATTAATTTCAACAGTAAGTATATCTATAGTAGACAGAGTTAACATATAGTTCTGCAGTGTTTTTCTTCAATCATTGATCTAAACAGCCAGCAGAGGGAGCACAAATTAATTAACAAATTGGATTCCCAAAAAGTACTGATTTAATGGCTAAATACATTAGTGATGCTTGTTGCGATGAAGCAAGTAACAAATGAGTCGTGTTTATATTGCGTGTTGAAGCAGAAGGGAGGGACAAGTGTCCAAACAGTCCACGAGTGCCCTGTAAGTAAACCCTGCTGACTTGAAACCACAGAAGCACTTGATTTCAAAACACCTCTGAAAAAAATCAGCACTTGCTCACAAATTTATAGCCCTGGTAGTTAACCATTGGTGGTCACCATAAGTTTTGGTTATTGTTCAGAGTATTACAGAAGCTTTATGCTGTTGCTGACAGCGAATCTGGTATGCAGTCACTTATGCTAGTGACGTGGCACTTTTTGTTGGGCTGGCTCCTGCCGTTGTACTGGGAAGGGCAGGGCAGGAGCTATGTTCACTTGGTCTCTCATGAAATGAGACCCTGCAGTAGCTGAAGAACAGCAGCTGTGACGTTCTTCAAACTTAGCCACCACAAAACTCATTTGGTTTCATATGACCTTTGGGGAGAGGTGAGGGTGCAGCTCAAAAACATAATTTTGATCACAAAGACTTGGAGGATGGGGAGAATGGCTGCTGCATTCAGGACTGTGAAACAAAGTCCATTCAAATGTATGTTCATACCCCTCTTCTTAGGACTGTCCTTCTTGTATGAAAATGTATGAACTGGTCTTAATTGTAGTTCCATGCATGCACTACTTTTATCTGTTTCAATTCTGGTGCAGATTAGAATAGTGCAAGGAGCACTTCGCCGTGACATGGCCACCTGCAATAGTAGCAGCTCATTCTTGGAGGCTTACGAGGCCACGGTGGGCAGGGAGCTCAGCTAACTTGACAGGGACTTGACACAGAGGAAAATCTGGGAAAATTTGGAAATCTCTCCGCACCTTTCCCACTTTAAGTTTCAGGGTCACAGAGCAAATGACGGACATCCCAAGCAGCTTGAGGGGCAGAGCAGTGTTCAGGAAATTGAATCATTCCTTTATAGAGAGATTGCAGAGAGCTGTCTAACCTAGTTATTTTTTTACACATAAAAACCTATCAGTTGGGCACCTGTAGGGTGAAATGGAAACTTAACAATTTTGTGAAATTGATACTATTTTCTCAGTTTGATAGCTAACAGCAAAAATACTGCTTTTTTTTTTTTTTCCTTCCCTCTCCAGGAAATGTTCTCCTATCTTTCAAGCGAGCTGAAGAAGTTGGCAGATACCCACAATGAGAGACTATTGGACACACCCCATAACCCCATTTCCCTAGGTAATCATTGCTCTTTTTTTTTTTTTTTTCCTTAAAAAAAAATCGAATACAATGTGCATTTGTAATATTATTTTACACACAGTTCTTACATATATGACATTGTTTACCACACTCTATGAAATGATTCTTAGGCTAAAATGAACCCATTAAACTTTTTGTAGAAGGCAATTTCCTATAGAAGCAGACTAATACTAGTGATAGGACAAGGGGTAATGGATACAAACTGAAACACAAGAAGTTTAATCTCCATATGAGGAAGAACTTCCCTGTGAGGGTGACAGAGCCTGGGACAGGCTGCCCAGAGAGGTTGTGGAGTCTCCTTCTCTGGAGATCTTCAAAACCTGCTTGGATGCCACCTTGTGCCACATGCTCTAGGTGTCCGCGCTGGAGCAGGGCGGTTGGACTAGATGGCCTCTAGAGGCCCCTTCCAACCTCAACCATTCTGTGGTTCTGTAGTAGAGCTGTGACCCAGGCCATTTATTTTTTGACAAAATTGTTCCTGTACAAAATATTCATTTACTGTAATCAAGACAGTCAGCCTGCAGCAATACTTTATAAATAAATAGATTTTTTAAAATAATTTATGATATAGTTGTTTCAGTCATTATCTTTCAGTGCTGTGAGGTAGATAATGGAATTCATATTCAAGATATTTTTTCTAACTATAAATTCTGAGCACTAAAAAGGAATGTTTTTCCTCCATGTAGTATCTCTGCTTTACCTACAATCCAACTGAAGAAGTCATTCAGTGATAGGTTGTGAACAAATCAATATTAGTATTCATATTTTCATTGTATCTGACCATAAATACTTGGCTATACTTTATTGTTATGTGACTGGTTGTCCTTTGTGGTTATCTTTTTGAAAAAAAAAATGTAGTAGTTCTGATCTGACTTTTTGTTACTTTAGCCATGTCACTGAGAAATCTAGATGAAAATAGTGATGCTGCTGTTACCCAGCTTGGATCTATGCTTTTCACAAGACAGGTTTCTGGAGCAAGGTAAGAATGCTCTCAACTTTGAAAAATATTGACATCTATATTCAGGTTTTACAGACTATATCCTTTTTTTTGTGTGTGTCCTGTGTCTCATGAGTACATATTTCAGCCTAGCAATTAAGAGTCAGAGAGTAATATACCCTTCCCCATCACTATTTTCTACTAATAATATATGTCTACCTGCCTGAGTTAGTGAGGACCTCTTCCTTCGCTTTGGTAGACTAAATAGGTAATCTGTCCCCATATAACTTGGTGTCATTATTTTCTAAAGCCTCTCAATTGCAGTTAGTTTCCAGCTCGTCTGATCCTATGATTAAGTTACAAGGGAGGATCTTTATTTTTGTTTTGTTTATGCAGCATAAATATGCTTGTGCTGGCTATCAGGGGAATAAACTTTTTATACTCTGCTTTGCTTTTGTCATATGGAAGAAAATTCTGCTTTCTGGAACTAACTATGCTTTAAAAAAAAAAAAAAAAAGCCAGGACCAGTCCAAGCTGAATTTATTCTTAGTGACACTGGTACATGAAAATGCAAGCCAAATCACTTCTAATGATTTTGGTTTAAACCTTTGAGAACAAGAAAATGATTTAGAATTTGTTTTGGCAGAATTCCTTTATCTGAATGTTACTGCTGCCATGCTAGCTTCTGCCATGGAGTTAATGTCATTTTCTCGAATAGAGCCGAATGTCTCGGCATCAGAAGATAGGCTTCATTAGCCTGGATTATTCCAATTCCTGCACAGATGAGTGACAGTAAATCTGTATGTACTGTAGTTAGATGCTCATTTTAATTTGCCTGTCCTAACCTTGTATTGTCCTGCAATTTCAGTCATCTCCGGCTGAAATGATTCGAAAGATTCCGTTTTTGAAAAGTTGTAACTTTCAAGACTTCCAAAGGCAAAAATATTTCCTTATTTTTATGTAGGCAAGTGGTTCTTTAACAGCAGAGTATATATATGATTTCACCTGGTATATCAGCAGGTATAAAATGTTGTGTCTGTGCTGAATGTCAGTGTTAGTAAGAACAATTCCCTGCTTCACTTGCATTCAAACTTTTGCATAACACATGGCCTGAGCACTTCCATACAGGGAAGATCTGCCAGTCCTAGTGGTATTTTTCCAAATGCAGTTTCTTTTCAGAACATCCCGGTAGAGGTAACAAATTCTGATTGATAAGTGTTTTAACCATAGCCACAAGGCGAGTTGTACCTGTAACCTCCTCAGCTTACCTGAGGGCTGAACCAACCAGGCCAGAAACAGAGCACATCAAATACATGAGCCTTGATCTGCAATGCAAGTTTGCTGCAGATGCTTCTTCCCTGACATTAGAGAGGTCATAAATACCTGTAGTGACATTCTTATAGGTTTATTGGAAGAAAGGAAGGAAAACTCGATAGGAATAAAGGTAAATGTGTTCATCGTAAGATATTACATAAAAATAACTAGGGCATCTTTAACTGAATTGCAATTTTGTTTGTGTGTTTCAGGGTGGTTCCCTGTGGGTCTGTACAAACAGTTAATAACTACACTTTTAAAGGCTTTATGTCACATACAAATGACTACCCCTGTGCTTACCTCAACGCTGCATCAGCAATTGGAATTAAAAAACAAGATGTAGACACATTCCTGAAAAGGCTTGACAAGTGTTTGAAGACTTCGAGGAAAGAAATAAAGAAAGAAAAAAATGTGGATGAAATAAGTAATTTTAATACAAGCTCAGAACAACTTGAAGGCTAGAAAATACAGCTTTTGTAACACAGGAAGATACACTTTTGTCTGAAATATGTCAGGTTTGTATTGGTTTTAGCCTTCTGAATCTGCAGTGCAGAAAACAATTTATCCCTCAGCCGAGAAGAAGGGGAGAAAAAGACAACAACAAAACTCAGGTGAAATTCAGTTTTAAAGAAAACTTTAGGTAATGTTCTCTTTCAGACAGAGGGCCAGTCGCAACCTTTTTGCACCATTTAAATGTCCTTAACATGTGCCAAAGTTGAGAAAGATGTTGAGCCAGCCTTTTGCTTGAGAGTGAATCTGACCAACTGTGGCTGATTCTGTGATTTAGCAAATCACAAAACACTTATTCCCATGTTCTTGACTAACAACTTTCTCTGTGGCAGTGATTGCAGACTTTTCTGGTATAGGTACATATCCAGCAAGAAATGTTTCCCTGCCTCCTAAATGTCTATGAGTGGTTTCTCTTTGGCATACTTGCCACTTTTCAAAGATTTGTATAAAAGCGTGGGATAGCACTAAATATAATGATAAAACTACATGAGGGAGTGAGAGAGATGGCATACTAATCTTTTCAGGGCCTTACAACACTGCTGCTTTTGGGCACATTTTTGTCTATAAACTGCCTTGCACAAAACAATTCTCAGTAGCCAAGAAAAAAAATCTAGAATGCCTCATATTCTGTTGGTTCCCCACTCTTGGAAATATTTGCAGGGTTCAGCAACCCGAAGGAATTTTTTAAGGGAATACAGTTATAAAAGCAAGGGGCTATGGAGCATGGAGTAAAGAGGTACAGTCCCTCCCACCCCCCATCCTACTTTTTTTTTTTTTTTTTTTTTTTTAATGCATTGTCTCTTCTTTGGTAGCTGCTCTTGGATAGGAGCAGGAGATTCACTGAAGTCTGTGACATGAATATAGCAATCTCAAGAACTAGTGAGTCTGCAGGTTTGTTTGTTTTTTTAATGTACTGACTTCCACTTCTCGGCTGTCTCCTGTCATTGGCACTGCTGCTTTTGTAGCTGTATTCAGTTCCTGATGTGAGTTCATTAAGTTAACAATAGGATTGGAATCTGTTCCTTGAAGAAGGTCACTGGAATGACGTTACTGTAGGTTTCAAGATTTTTAGCTAATTATTCTTATATGCAATTACTATATTGTATGTAGTTTTGATGTCAAATACTCGCCAAAGCGAGCCTAATGTTCAGAGGCATTTTTCTGTCCTCCTGTAATGTATTAACACTTAGGATGCCACAGTTAACCTCAAAAACTGTTCTAGTTGTTTCATTTGGTGGGACCGGAGCCCTCTAAATTGCTTGGTCAAAATAGTGATGCTTTTGAAAGGATCCTCTCAATCATTTATCAATTACATCTTAGTTGATATAAAATATGGTATTAATATGTGTAAGTTAATACTGTACTAATCTTTATGAGGCTTGGGGCAGTGCCCAGCCAGCCTGTGAGAGCTTAACTTGCCCAGTTAGATGACTTGTCATGGGATGCAAACTTTAACATTTCCTAACAATAGCTGTCGAGAGGCGCTTGATAGCAGCTCGAGAAAGTGTTTGATGAATAATAACCTGAACCTGAACAGAGAGAAAACAGCAGATGGCTTTTCTGAGAGGAAAAAGTCCTTACCTTTTATGTTCTTCCATTAAGTTGTCTGATAGAAGTCACTTCACTCACTTCAACTCTGGATTGACATGCTTTCTCAGGTAGTGATTTTCCTGTCTGCAAAATATTTCTAAATTCATCAGAAAGATGAAAAATTCCACAGTGCTCTCTGAACAGAGGTGGAGAGGAAAAGAAAAAAAGCATCGTTCTGATCTGAATTCAGCTTTATAAACCCTTTTTTTTAATTTCAAATAATTTTAAGGTAATGATTTTGGTTGCAAGGCAAATCAAAGTATTTGGTGTCTATGCATGTCAGTGAAGTACTTCACAAATCTCATTGAGGTGGCACAATTTAAAATAACTTAGAAATTTGCCACATCGTGATGTGTAGACACTTAAGCTAAATGTTTGTTGCCTTACTTGAGTAAGCTCTTGTACCAGTTTCCACTATTGTTTGCTAGTTTTGTGATCTGTATTTGTTAGGTCTTAAATTTTTAGGGACAAAGGCATTGTATAATGTCATGTAAGCAGAGAGTTTGAAATTTTATGCAAGTAATTCAGATTGCAATTTACCTTTCAAGTTAAATGGAGGAGAATTGTTATATATAGCACATACTTGGAAAAGGAGCTTTGGTAGATAAACCAAATATTTTTGAAGGAATATAATATAATGCATTTACTTTCTGTTCTCAATATCTGTAATAAAACAGTGAAATAATATTGAAGTATACAGCTATCAGCTGGGTTTTTTTGTTTCCTTTGTGTAACAGATGTTGGGAGACTTCATAGCTGTGGCAGGACTTTCCCAGTAAAAGAAGTATTCATGCAAGAATAAGCAAAATAAGCAGAGTTGAAACAAATACATTAATGCGAGTTGCCTTATATGAAGATGTTTCTAAGATTGTAGGGTGAGGTAAGAAGCTCCTGAACTGAATTAATGTGCAGCCCTATTCTTCACCCCTGCGTAGACCCCTGCCACTGAAGGCTTCCAGATAACAGGTTGGGTCCAGCAGATTTTGGAGTCATCTCCTGCACCTGTGTTACTAGTGAGACATCTAGGAGGGCAACCTGAGGTTCTGCTCACTCATGGAGCAGAAACGCTATGAGCAGATGTGCACTTGGTGAGGTTATTTTGCAGATACTATTTCTGCAGCTCTCTGCCTCAGTCCGGCGTGATCTGGGCCACACCATGCAGTTACCAGCAGTGAGGTGGGAAAGGGAAAGCCCTGGAACAGCCCCGGGGCTGTAGGGTGAGCACGTGCTGCCTGCTCTGCTTCCAGAGACGGTGGTGCAGACGGGGAGCGCAGGCAGGCAGGAACACGCGGGCTGCTGCGGGTCCCGTCGCCGCAGCGCATTTCATCACTTGCAGTGCCCCTGACTGTGCAGAGAGCTGCTTTTCTTTTCCTTCCCTCTGCTGCTGCCTCTTGCACTGTCTGCACGAACGTGAGTGAAAGAAGGACTAGACGGCACTGGGACACAGCGCAGGCAAGCTGGCACTGAAGGAGCCATGCCAAAAACTTGGATCTCACTCTTACTTTACCTCTTTTGTAGGATCTAAGTGAATAAATCCGAGGACTTAAACAGCCAATAATATTGCCTATCCACGCTTTGCTTGAAACAATTGCCTAAGATACAAAGCAAATAAAATCTACCAGATGCAGCAAATTCTCTTGAGCCTAAGAAAGCAAAATTGTAATGTTGCAAATGTAAATGCTGGCATTGCAGCTTAATACACATAAACCGAGCAATCTATATTGTGCGATCATCATTTTTTGAGAAAGGCTGGAGCCCAGAGACTAGCAAATGTTCTCATCTGCAGTGTATCAGCAGTTCTCAGTCTTCAGCTGCAGTATAGATAATAATTCTAATTGAAGAATCATTACATGAATCCATATGTGAATGATAGATGGGCTATAGCTTTTTGTTCATGATGCTTTAAAAATCGAGTTGCTGCTTTCACTTTTTTATAAGGGGTGATTAGATTGCCACCCCTTTTTTTTTTTCCCCTTAATGCAACATTTTAATCAACTTGGCTTGACAGGATTTGGAATCTAAAGGAAAAACAATTTGTGTAGCTGACAGATTTTTTTTTAAAAAATAGCTATTTGAAGACTTGAATTGGTTACAAAGTGGCTCTCCTCAGAGAAAACCTTTGTTCAGAAGTTTTAATTTTGAAACCAGTGCTTGAAAAATTGTGCTTATGTGTTCTGTAATAGTTGTTTTTCATGTCCTACACATTTTTTCCCCCCCAAAGATAACAACACCTACTGTAGTGCAGTTTAATAACTGTTTAAAAATTACAGTTAAAAAGGCATTTGCTCTGTCCTAGTCCCTCATCGAGCATCTGCTGTATCAAAGCACTGCTCACAGATTTATCTTGCTGGATAAATTTCAACATTCTGGACAGGGTCAGTGTAACCAGACCAGGCTTTGAACATTCCTCTGGGGAGCCTAAAATTAAGTCCACAATCTCATTAAGATTGGTTTGATAATTGTATCTCCTTTGCTGCTGAACAGGAGTCTTTTCATCGTACTGCAATTCAACTAAACTTTTTTAGCAAAGCATCAAAGCTAATCCAGTTCAGAAGACATTAAAACCTAATTTGCCTTCAGATCCTGGATTCAAATCCAGCTTGACTCAGCTATAGCAAAATCATAACCACTTTTTTTAAAAAAACGTACTGTGAATAGCATGAACAGAATGGTTGCAGCTGAGTGCTGCTTTTCCTAGTGCTCTTTCTGGAAGAGCG